ATCTAAATCTACATACAAACTCTCTTACGTCGAGATGAACGAATTAAAGAAACAACTCACAGACCTCTTGAGTAAAGAATTTATCAAACCGTTTACTCTCGCTACGGATGCCTCGGATTTTGCTATCGGAGCAGTGCTAACACAAGATAATGGAAAAGGTGAACAACCAGTCGCCTATGAATCAAGAAAATTATCAGCAGCCGAACAGAATTATCCCACCCATGAAAAAGAATTATTAGCTATTATTCATGCTATCAAACTATGGCGTACGTATTTAGAAGGTCAACAATTTACGGTCATAACAGATCATGCCTCTCTCGAATATATTAAAACGCAATCTAACCTTTCAAAACGACAAGCGAGATGGCTTGACACATTACAATCTTATAACTTCCAAGTACGATATCGACCAGGAAAAACAAACATGGTAGCTGATGCATTATCACGACAACCACATCTCAACACTATGACCACCGTAACCACAACTCTTATGAACGATGATACTTTAATGAAAGCTTATCGAGTAGATAATTATTTCAGACACATCTTAGATGCACTCCGAAACCCCGATCAAGCAAATGAAAAACAGAAGTCGCGTGCCAAACATTTCGAAATACAACAGGAATGTCTATACCTGAAAGGTACTCAACGAATGGCAATACCATCAGATAAGCGAATTCGAACACATATACTACACGAACATCATGATACGAATATCGCTGGACATTTAGGCATTGATAAAACTACAGAAGCTATTATGCGAAATTTCTATTGGCCCAAAATGGGGAAGGATATTCGAAGATACGTGCAAACATGCGATACTTGTCAAAGAAATAAATCGAGTAATCAACAACAAGCCGGACTCCTCCGCCCTTTAGAGATTCCAACGAATAAGTGGGAAGAAATTGCAATGGATTTTATAGTACAATTACCGTTAACCAAACAGGGACATAATGCAATAGTAGTATTCATAGATTGCCTCACAAAACAAGCTATTTTTCACCCTACACACACCTCCGCAAGTGCCCCTACAATAGCCAAAATATTCTTTACTACGGTATTCAAGAATTATGGGTTACCTCGGATTATTATTTCAGACAGAGACTCCAAATTTACCAGTCATTTTTGGCAAGCACTATTCAAACATCTTGGAACGAAAACCGCAATGTCAACAGCATTCCACCCTCAGACTGATGGGCAGACTGAACGACTCAATAGGACATTGGAAGAAATGTTACGTATTTATGCTACCTATAAGCAAGATCAATGGGATGAATACTTACCTGCTGCAGAATTCGCATATAATAATTCTAAACAAGCATCAACGGGATTTACACCATTTGAACTCGATAATGGCCAACATCCTCATACACCCATTACACTTACAAAGAAGAATATTACCAACGTACCAGCAGCTAACGATTTTATTGAGCATTGGAATACTATGATGACGATCGCTAAAGATAATCTAAGGGAAGCTCAGGAAAGACAAACGAAATATGCTAATAACAATAGAAGACATTTAATGTTTAAAACGGGAGATCAAGTATTACTTTCTATGAGAAATACTAATAATCCAATTGACAGAAATCGACCTACAAAGAAATTAACTCCAAGATTTACTGGACCATATACGATTGTCAAGGTTATTTCGCCAGTAGCATATAAGTTGAACCTGCCCGAAACAATGAAGATTCACCCCGTTTTCCATGTCTCGCTTTTGAAACCATATCAACCATCTCCTGACGAATTTGCAAGACCAACACCACCACCAGCCATTGTCGAATCTGATACTGGACAAGAAGAATATGAAGTTGAAGCAATATTAGATAAAAGAGTTATTCGAAAGAAAACACAATATTTAGTTAAATGGGTTGGATATCCGTTACATGACGCTACTTGGGAACCAGTGCGAAATTTATCGAATGCGCCAGAAATAATCAAAGAATTCGAATTGACGCGGACGTCAAATCTTAAGGAGGGGAGAATGTAACAATTCACAATATGATGACGATGTAATAATAAAGTTACATCATATTGCTTATATCATAGTTAGCAAATATATAGTCATTACTATCTATACCGGCGTAACACATTATATAGCAATTATATAGTCATTATTCGTATATATATATTATATCGTCATAGTTACAGTATATCAAATATCGTCATAGAATTAAGTAGTATAAAAGAACATTAGTTTACATATCAATAAAGACTTGAATTGACTTTTAGTTAATAAATGTTAAGTCACCCATGGAACTTCAGAATTACTAACATTATTTTGAAGCTGTTTACAATCAAGCATGCTTGCTTGAAGCAAATGTGCTTGGAGCATGCTTGCCTGAAGCAAATGTGCTTGGAGCATGCTTGCCTGAAGCAAATGTGCTTAGAATATGCTTGAAGCAAATGTGCTTGGAGCATGCTTGCCTGAAGCAAATGTGCTTAGAGCATGCTTGCCTGAAGCAGATGTGCTTGGAGCATGCTTGCCTGAAGCAAATGTGCTTGGAGCATGCTTGCCTAGAATATGCTTGAAGCAAATGTGCTTAGAGTATGCTTGCTTGAAGCAGATGTGCTTTGTTGAGCCAATACACCTGGGAGAGCAGTGGTATATTGACCTTGAGATCTAGCTCTTTTCATACGGAATCTTACACTATTCCTACTTTGAACTAAATCAAGAGACAATTAGTGACGTTTAAACTACTGTTACGGTCGGCATATTTAATTAGGAAGATTTGTGGGAGAGCGAACTGTAGGCGGTTCAGCTGACAGGGGGATCTGACTCAATTAGCTCAGCTACCGCTGCCCTTACTTCAGTGACAGTATCAACTAAGACTGAATGCTAAGCTATAGTGATGTTCCTTATTAATTAATTATGTGTGCTTCCTAATCCCTATACGTAACGTAATCCAACATTCGTATCCAAATAAGGGAATCTATACAAATAATATTAACAACTATACTATTCTATAGAATCAAAGGGGAACTTTCCTTTAATAAACAGGGCAATACTTCGATTTGGTGTTTTGACTAGTCAATTTACATCACTTCTACTTTAATAACTAATTAAACAAATAAAATAAATAAATGTTGTTCACCAAATATTATCCAATTACTGTACGCTTTCAAGCTATTGCTTTACTAACTGAACGGACAAACTTTCACTAGTTTTCACCCACTACTCAATCTTATCACCACAACAGTCTCGAAATACTGTAGGCAACAAGTATTGTCCGTTGTTATAA